ATTACAACCATCCGCAATTAATATGTTCGAATCGAAAACTCATTTCAGAATTACGGGTGCCATTGCATGAGAAAATGAAGCTACTGTACAAATTTCTCGAAAGCTATTTTTTGTCAAAAAAAAACTATCAATAACCATTAGTTTGCGTCTTATTCTTTGATAAAACAATCAAATCGCGGGTTGAAACGGGCGCTGCGAAAATATTTTCCGTAGGCGGGGCAAATTCAACCCGTTAAGCCCCGCCTACGGAAAATAGCTTCGCAGCGTACAGCCCCGTTTTGCCGTTTCAACCCGCGATTTGATTGTTTTATCAAAGAAGACGCAAACTAAGGGTTATTGATACTTTTTTGACAAAAAATACATTTCGAGAAATTTGTACAATAAATTTAGTTTACCCTTGGTCCCGCCTGGCCTCGGGTACTTGGACGGGGCCAGGCAGGGCTGTTTTAAAGCTCAGAATAAGAAGCAAACTGTTCCACTGCTCGAGCGGTCTTCTAATCTCGACTATGTGTTGTGCTACTGATATTTGCAGTAATAGGGGCGAAAAATGCTGGAACTGACCTGAGGAAGGGAGAATCTGTACCAGAAGCAGCAACAGCAGCAGTAGTAGTAAATGGCAAAAATAGGACTACGGGAGAGAGCGGATGCCGCCGACGACTTGATATTCCAGGTGGTGGTAGAAAGGTTTGAACAGGTGAAAACAAAATCAGGAGAGGCACCAACACACAGACACACAGAGAGTGGGAGATATTAAGAGTACACAAATTCACACAGGGCAATGATGCCCTTGGTAATGACCGGGGAGGGGGGAGGCTGGCGGGTGGAAGTCGCATACAAATTCAAAGACTGATGGAAGAAGTGGAGAGGGGGGGAACAGGGTCTCATAAAAAAGAAACTTGATAGTCTATATTGGTGTCCGAGGCGTATGTGTGTGTGCAGGCCTACACGAGACACAGACGCACTCAAGCAGTGTGTCTAATTTTAACTGGATATGTAAGCAGCAGGATTTCGAGTGTTGCCGCCGCTAGTACGCCGGCCAGCATTGGAGGAGGGAGGATAGTGGCTGTGGTCGGAGCCCACGCGGGAGGTGACCACAAAAAGATCCGGATCCAGACGGGTAGTCATCTGGATGGCACGCTCCAGGGCCTGAAGAAGGAAAACAAAAGAAAGCGTGTAACCGCTAGCAGTTAGTGGTGTTAACGACGACAGAACGCGAGGAAAAAACATCTGAGCAGCAGTCCGGTTCGACGTGCTCGCTCTCAGAAAACAAACTTGGATTCACCTAGCTTCAATTGGAGGCTAGAAATAATAGCTACGGGATCACACCCATAGTATAGTTCTGTTGGAAATGCGCCCATCCCCATGATAAGCTATCTCACAGAAAGGCCGCGAGTGCAAATCACGCTGTTGTCACGATAGCGCGCCGTGACTATCGATTTTTCCTCATGGCGGATTGGCCAAATCACTCAGCTATGTCCCTCGTGTTCCCCCTTAAGTACATGCAACCATTGTGAGAAGGACTTGCGCTGACTTGCTGTAACGTACTTGTCTGAGTAAACGCTCTCCCCTCTCTGGCCGACTGATCTTCTCTCTCTCTCTCTCGCTCTCTCTCTCTCTCTCTTAGGGGCTCTTGGGAACCGGTTCGTGTTGATTACTAGTGCCAGGCGCGGATCATAACGGGTTCTAAAATCGGGTTCTCATAAACAGCCGCTAGAAAACTACCTCTTTTTGTTCGATAAGACAGACAACTCATAATTAATTGATAGCATCGGGCATAAAGAAACTCAAAGATACCCAGCAGTAGACCTTACCTTCATTAACTGAGTTGGTAAGGTATCGCCGTGGACAACAACAACGAAGTTAAGGATAGATTGCTTAGGTGGAAATCGCAAGGTTTTGAGATGTTTATTACCTGCCGCGTAAATTTGGCATAGCCCAAACACCTGGTGGAAATGCGGTTAGAAGTGGAAAAGTATACAGTAATTGGCTTAGCGTGGACCTGAAGATTTCATGAGACGAGGTTTTTCAGGTTCGATCTGTAGTGGGAGAGAGGCAGTAGCAACGTAGCTATGAAAATAGATATATTTTATTACTGAAATTTTAGTTAGTAAGTATGTACCGTACTGTTGGGAATTACTTGTCGGATGAGGGACGGTAAATCCGTACCAGGCGCAATATTAAATGGCAAACAGGACTGCCATAGCTAATTTGGTACAGCAAGTACCGTGATTTGTTGCCAAACTAGGAAATGCGCATCAACCCGCATACACGAACAACAATTGGCGGTCAGACTTATCCCAGCTGACCATGCACACATTTGAAACCAGTCACAAATTCGCGTGGGAGAACACACGGACTGTTGGCTCTTGCCCAACCAGGATATACCGTGGGTTCCTGGAGGCAATGCACGCAGATGAGGCATGCATCAACAGGCATATCGATTTGGACGCGGACTATAATTATCTCAAGGCCAAAGTTCCACGCACGCGGTCAACCACGGCAGGATGACGAAAGTTATGCAATGCCTATTGGCGCAGACATCAGCTAATTGTAGTATAATTTGTTAGACACGGTTAATTAAGTTAGTCGTTCCTGTACAAATCCCATCGTCTGACTACGAGCTGGGGAACCCACCTCGAAAATTTACGCATTAAAGATTCAAGTTTCCGAAAGAAGGCTTTCCCTTCTCAATAAAATATTTTGAGATGCCCGTATTTCAACAGACTCAGTCTAATGTGGGCTATATACATGTGCGTCACCGGACAAGAGGCAATACAAACTTAGTGTGGTCCAACTAATGCATGCAATGTACCACTACGGTCGTCATTCTGTTTTAACGCAACAACGAGCAGATGTAACGAGACCAGCGCACAAACATATCATGATAGAAATACGGATAAATGTGGAAGATCTCCACGGTAATTGACCTAGATCTTTCGAATATAGAAAAAAATCAGTGTGAAATTGAAGCGCATTCCATAAGACGGGTATGCTCGAGTTCGGACTGTAAGTTTATGTGAGAGTTTGAGTAGAATTTTATCGGAAACTGTGGAACGGCTCGTCAAAAGACGGTTCAAAGTACATAAATACACACGGAAAATGATCTGCCATACTCGCAGAACGCGATGCGTCCTGATGAGGTGTGTCACGACATAGCAACTCCGAGGCGTTGGGAATATCAGTATCCCAACCTTCTCACGCCTAACTCTTCATCTTCGCAGAAAGAAGTGAAAAGTCTGGGTAAAGTTCTTGAAACAAAACTTTATCAGAAAGTTCATCCGAATAAAGCTAAATTCACAGAGGCCTAGCATAAGAGCAGTACTAGTGTTTAATTACTTTTCACTCGAGCCTGCTTCAGAAAGCATGACACGATTCCAAGCCAAGCTCCATGTTGGAAATATAAATAAAATACGTAAAATGGAAATATGTCACAGAAATCAATAAATGCTCGCAGGTTAAATACACAAAATTAACATTCATCAATGCGTTTCTGGTGAGAGCGAATCACAATGCACAATAAACTGCGCCAGTACTGCACCCCTTTTTTAATTAATCAGACAAGTTAATACGAGGACAAGGCTTACGAGAAACGATGGTCAGGAAAACAGAAAACTATGCGGCGACCTAATATAAGCGATTTGCATGCTGTGGGGTCAGGAATGTTGCTACGCACCCCACGACTTCTTTGGGCTGGCTAACACCACTAGTTTTAGAGGACGTCCTCTAAAGCTACGCGTGACTGAGGTGAGACTGGACACAGGGAGGCTCTTATCATCCAACAAAGTGATTCATGCATGAAATGCTCTGCCTATGTACAACGTCATGTTTCCATCCATGTATGTCTTTTAGATAAAGTTCGGCCAGCACAGCCATACGTATCAGCGCGCCATCAGAAACTAACACATGCCTCCCATTGTGCCATCACCCCCCCCCCGAAATTTATCTGCTGTATACCATACTACTCCCTATTTTTTTCCTAATTCTTTATTCGAATGTCCTGTATGTATCGACGTTTTTCTTTTGTCTTGTTAGTGTAACCAATAGGGAGATTAGAGGCATTCGCCTACATTTCCCCTAAGAGAATTAAATCTAACTCAATTAATACGTATAAGAAATAAAAATAACCAAAGAAAACAAATGTGTATGCTGGGTAAAAGCAGAACTTACAATGTCATGTTCGCTCGGGATGTCGGACTCCTCCTAAGACAAAAAGGTGAAATTAGGTGAAAGTCCACATATATGTTTAATGAACGGACTCCGGTAGGAGCTAATAATAATAATAATAATAATAATAATATAATAACTGACACAAGAACATACCTCCAGTGGGGTCGCATAACGTTCTCGGAAGGTTTTTGTTGTGATTACTTGAGTATGCTTCGTTGTCTTTTTTATTTTCTTCCCATCCTTGTCCTCGTAACACTCGGAATAGACGGTAGGTGGCGAACGAACGACAGTCTAAAATGCACAAAGTATTCCACGTATTGAGGCAAAGGTTCGCATTCCACGTACGTGTATAGATTGAGAAGAAGCTTTGTCGAACACCAGAATCATAATTTTATTGGTCTGAGCTTTCGGGCTCCTGCAGGAGTCCAACGTCAGAGATGGGAAACAGCAACAAATGGGGTGACTAATAGCGGCGTGTGTACAAAACAACTACAATTTGAACGCATATGTTGCCCTGCGTAGATATCTTGAGACTCACGGCACTGGTGGTTAATTAGTCCTCTACCCCTCCTCCCCCCTATAAAAGTTGCTTGTTTTCGTTGACGATTTTATTTCTGTAAATATTCCCACCCAACACACCGATCTCGCCTACTTACACAGATTAACATAGTCCGCAATGGCCAGTCGGCGTCCATACAATTATTGATTTTCTACACGTTCAAATCTTAGTTGTTTTGTACACACGCCACAACTAGCATCCCCAATTGTTGCTGTTTCCCATCTCTGACGATGGACTCCTGCAGTAGCCCGAAAGCTCAGACAAACAAAATCATGATTCCAGTGTTCGACAAAGCTTCTCCTTCTTCTCCTCGAACTATATACAAACTGCCTACTTGCAATGTGTCAGTAGTTCTTTTTGAGTGCAATATCAACCTACCACTGACTCGTTCAAACCATTTAGCGACTGCGGCGATTGTCGCTTAGGGCTAACGTGAACGACAACCGTGTTTGTGGGAGGAAGGGAACTGCCTACTGAGTCGTTGGGGGCGCACCGACGGCCAGTGCCATTATCAGCAAGAGCAGCTTGCTGTGGAGAGGCGGCAGAAAAGTTGCCGACACCAGTCATGCCTGGAATGGGAACAGCTCCAGCTAGGTGCAGTTTCTGCGCCTTTGTAGCCAACAACTCCTCATCGCGATGGTCGACAAAAGGCTTCAAGAGTTGCTGGAATAAGAAGGCGAAAAAAAGAGTGCATTACAATAAGGATTTGGAAAAATAAAGATTTACCGGGACGATAACCGCTTAGAGGGCCGAAGGCAAATGATCACTGAAACAAAAAAACCGCAGCAAAGCGGACTAAAAACACGAAAAAATCAGACAAATGTCAATCTCCGAGGGTCGGAAAATAAAATGATCCATCGTTAGGGACGAAGACCAAAATTATGTCGGTGTGTGTGTGTGTGCGGTGGAAGACAGAGCCAATACGAATCAAGACAAACATGGCTGTGGTGCCTGGGGAAGCTAAGGCCAGACGGAATCGCACCATACAGTTGCCCAGTTTGTAACTCTATTCTCAACCGAAGATAGTTTGAACACTTCTCATATTCACCAAGAGTCAGGACAGTCAGACCTCAATTCGGAGGGTTGCGTTATCCTATCAATCGGCAACGAGCCAAGCCACGAACAACCGTGTGACAGATCGATTATACTGCAGACGGTATGCACTGGACAACCATGATAAAAACTCTCTAAAGTTACCTGTCGCTCTCCCGAGTCCGGTCATACATAAAGCGCCTGTTGACAGCCCGGAGAATTTATTTGGCCTAGCGAGTGCCCTGCAGTTAGGCCTCAATCTAACGAATGCTATAAGCGAGTGTAATACCAGATGGCAACTCAAACGTCGCTTTAAACTATGTTCACCGCGTGCTTCACAGCAGGCTGGTAGCAAGCGCGGTGACGTGATGTGCGTGAATTAGATTATAGAGAGTAGGCTTGTGCTGCATCTATCGCACTCAACCACCTGTGCCCCCTGTGACATGGCCAAGTC